TTTTTCTTAGTGTTTCACTGCACAAAAACACTTTTTAAATTCATTAGAATAATCAAATTACATTGAAACAATCTCTATCCTCAAAATTTCATAGTGGCTGAATAGGGTGTTTAAACCTAAACCCTAACTTTGGTTTTTTTCCCAAATTCAATCCAAACATCAATTAAACATGCTATTTCAAGCTCATGTTCATGGTTTCTATCCTTCCTTAAACCATTCTTGAACTAGGATTGCACAAAGACTGGACTAGACCAGGTTCGGTACCAGTCTCAAGTCTGATCTAAAAAATGATTGGGTTGGACTCTTTGGTCCATAGTCCAGTTTAGTCTGGTAAGACCCAGGACCAAAACTAGGTTGGACTTGGTCCATCGGGTTACTGGACCAGTCCAGATTGATTCTACTTTTAAAGAAAAAAATTTAATACACATTTACTCTGCTCTTTCTTTAAAAAAAAAAAAAAACCATTGTGACATATTTACTTTGCCCATTTTATTGTAAATATTTTGATATTGAGCCTTTTCAGTAAAGCTTTCCACTAGATAAATATTAACTTATGAAGTATAATATGACAATCTAGACAATAATGTGGACTGCACTCTGCATATAAGAAAATAAATATTAAACAAGATCATATTTAGGATCCTAGAAGAGACAACATGAAGAGAAAATTAAGGGGAAAAAATAAGGAACAAAAGATTTGAATAACCAAGCTTGTCTTTAAATTATCATTACTCAATATTCATTGAACCTACATATCAAAATATGTCTTGAACTTGTAGGAGTTAAAAGGTCCATTGCATGTACAAAAATCCAGGTGAGTCAAGCTATACACTAATCCTAATTAGCTGGACAAGCCATTCATACAAAGTCACCACTAAGCACTAATTATCATCAGCCAACTATATGGTAATTTTAACTAAGCAACCAAAAGATCAACTAGCACAATTAAACCAGTCAAAAAAATCCAGTCATGTAGTCAAAAAACAAACTACCACCATCAAACAACCAAAAGACTTTATAGTTTAAGTCCAAAATATTTGAAACTAAAATGCTGAAAGTCATGCATCCTGTAACATCCTGATTTTTGGACCTAGAAGTATCAGAAATAGCCTAAATGAGATAGGCTACCAGACCCCTTTTTAGTAGAGGTCCTAAAGATGAGAAAGAAAGTTAAAGCAGTTTTAGGGACTAAACTGCAAAGTGAATGTTTTAAGGGGCTAAAGGGTAATCAAAGTTAGAGGCTCCAGTAAAGTCTCAAAGGCCCAGAAAGAGAAAAGAGGCTAGATACAGACCAAAGGTTAAGTTAGAAGCCTCAAAGAGATTGTTTTATGAGGTTGAGCCTAAGCAGGGGTAAAACCGTAAATTCAGAAAGTTACGGCCATCAGGGGTAAAAATGGAAAGTACTTAGAAAATTCTAAGAAAATCCCAGAAAATGGGAAATAATATTCTAAGACTCTTTTGTGAAGAGAGATGATGAAAATACCCCTGAGGTAACTTAAAAGGAATTTACAAGTTTATGGCTTAATTTAAGATGTAGAGGTAGATTTGATTGTTTGAGTCATAAGGAAACCTCAGAAAATTATGGTAAAATGGGGATGTATGATCTAAGAGACTGTAGAAAATTATAAAATTAGTCTCATCCCTAGAAGACAAGCAAAATGGCTTTAAGAATACTTAAAAGCCAGTTGTGCCCAAAAAAGGCATTTTAAAGAATGATTTTTAAGTGGGGCTATAGGTTGAGTTATGACCTGAGGAAATTCACAGATTTTCTCTAGAATATGAGGAATTTTATGATATTTTTGGATGAATTTTTAGAGCTCTGGACTGAATAAAATGCTCCAGTCAAATATTAAATAATTTTGTCCCCTAAATAGGAGACAAAACCAAAGAAAATATCTAAAAGCCATCATGACGATGCTGAGTCAGCATGCTGAGTCATCAAGCGTAATCATGACACCGACGAGTCATCATGCTGAGTCATCAAGCGTAATCATGACACCTACGAGTCATCATGCTGAGTCACCAGAAGATATTTATGGACAGCATAAAAATCAGAACGCAGTATGGGAATATTTTAGACAGTCTTTTGTCTACCCATTATAGCGAAATCTCTACTGCATGACTCAGTAAGGTTAAGTAGCCTGTCAGTAGAGCTAATTATTTTCATCTATGCTCCTCTAAGGTGGCACCATATATGTACTTAATTAAGATGAGAAAATAGTGTCAGAACATGTCCTGGTGGTACAGGGTAAGTCAGGACCCGAAAAGTATCTGATATGGTGCAAGATTGGCTTGATAGGTGGAGAAATAATTAAGGAGATATTTTTGCACGAATTTCCATTTATTTTCTCCCTATTTTAATGCCATAAATGATGAAAGGACATAAAAGTGACAAGTGTACGGTTAGATGAGAAAAAGAAAATATTACGTGTACGGCTAGATGGAAGACACGTGTACGGTCGAATGCAAGGCACGTGTGCGGTCGGATTAAAGACACGTGGCTTGATGATGTAAGCATGATGTCATCATGATGAGGTAAGCATGATGTCATAGGACACTTGTCACCGTAAGATCAAAAGAGAAAATGGACGGTCCAGATCGAGCCACGTATTTTTAAGATCAACGGTCCAGATTCGGTCTGTTTTTCTATAAATACCCCCTCCCCTCCCTACCATTTCGTCCAAGCATAAGGAATCCATGGGGAAGCTCTTGCAAAATGGTTTCTAGAGAGAGAAAGAAGAGGGAGAAAGAAAGGCCAAGTGGTTCCAAGCCAGATCAAACTCTAAAACACGGTATGTGGTGGTTATAGCACCTGATTTTATGCCTATTTCGGATTAGTTACTGTGCGTATCTGATTCTGAAATTTTGCATGCTTAAAGTACACTCTGTGAGCTTTAAATCCATAGGTAGAACACTTCATTTGGATATGTGTACGATTTATGGTGATTTTTCAAAGTTAGGGTTTGAAATCTGGAAACAGTGTTGAACTTTTGGAAGAGTTTCGAGTTCCGTACAGTTCCGGTACTGTTCGGCGTAGAACTGGTTCCTGAAACTATTTTTCATTTAAAGTTAACTTAAGGATCTTTCAGTGAGACTTGGAAGCACTCAATTTGGAGTTTTCTAGAATTAATTATGAATTTTCAAAGTTGAGCAAAAATTCTGGAAATTCTGCGTGAACAGTACCCGCGAAGCAAAATTTCCAGATTTGGTATTCTTGAATCTAAGGCCATCTAAAGTGGTCCTAATTGACAAGAAATGGATCTTAAGGATGGGAAATGATAAGATTTATGTTAGAAAAGTTGGAAAGAAAACCCTAAGACTAAGAGAAAGGGTTGAGGTTCAAGAAAGCTAGTCTTGAACTTTATGTAATCTAGTGGTCCTAATGGTTTGTATGATCAATGTGACTATGTTTAGGACCTTTGGAACATCCAAGAGGATGTTTGGTGATGTTGACGGAATGTCCACATGGTTGGAAAGACAAGGAAACCAAAGGAAAAGCAAGGGGAAAGCCATGTTACAAGGTAGTGAACTTACCTATACTGTGTGCTTGATATGTATGCTTGCATGATGTGATTGTGTTGCCATGATGTGACTAAGCTATGATGAAATGTTTGCAAAGTTATGTTTGCAAGTTTATGTTATGTTTTGCCTTGGCAATATGTTATGGAAGCATGAAATGCTTTAGCTTACTTTCCATGGCATTCATGTGTTAATGTTATAACATGTCATGCATGTGCATTATGTCTTGCATGCTTATGGGTAGTGTTTGCTACTGAGATTCTCCCGAATCTCACCCCTCCCTAACCAACCATTTAGGTCAGTCAATGATGGGCAATAATGGCATGAGAAGCAAGGAGAAGTAAGCGGAGAATTATTCTTGTTAATGGATGAGACTGTTGATATATGTATAATTCTACTATTTTGTGAACTATGTTATGGATGCCAATGATACCATGTATTTAATTATAATATTTATGGCATAAATGAAAGTGTATGAGCATGAACGGGAAAGAGTAAGGCCATGTTATGTATGCCAAAGAAATAAAAAGAATTAAAGAGATGTTAAGGGATAAAACGTAAGTCCTGGAGCAGTGAATTTGTAGCTCCAGTTTGACCTATCAAACGAGTGAGTTAGGTCATAAGATTTGGCAAGCAAAGAGATCTGATGTTTCTATTTAAAATGACGGGTAGTTTGCCCGATTCCGATAACCGAGCAGAAAGTTATGCCTTTCCAAAGTTAGGCAAAAATACAGTAAAATCCGAAAATGACCAAATGAACAGTAACTTTTTCAAAGGAAATTGAGCTCGAATTTCAAGGCAATCAGTTCAGAAACTATTTTTCCTCAAAATTTTATCCAAAGAGCTTTCTGTAGAACTTGGAATCACTCAATTTCAATTTTTCTACAATTAGTTATGAATTTTCGAAGTTTGTCACATTTTAAGGTGACAATGAATAGTAACCCGTAAATGAAAATTTTCAAACTTGATTTTTCATCAATTGTAGCCTTCAAAAGTGATTCCAAATGCTTCCGCAAGGAAAGTTAATTGGTATAAACATAAGGTGTTACACATCCCTTCCAACATCAGTAACATTGGAATGATATGAAAAGTATATAAAACATAAGTATTCAATGACATTACAATACAACACATACTAAGAATGATTACAAACAACTGAAATTTATTTGAACATTTATATAAAATATAAATAATCAATAGCATCACAACACATACCAGTCCTTCACCACACCCTCTGTCTCTTGAAAGTTATCAAACTCTTGAATCATGGATGCAAATTTAGAAAGAGATTTCCCCGGGAGTAGCCAATTTTGGGCACAGATAGGTGCTTCAATCATTGTTGGTACTGGTGAACTCCTATAAGAGTCCACGATACGTCCTCCATTGCTAAAGGCTGATTCAAAGGCCACTGTAGATATTGGCATAGCCAAGACATCATGTGCCATCCTAAAAAGTATTTTATATTTATTAGAATTGGCTCTTCACCATGCTGATATATCAAAATCATCATCAACAAGGGTATCATCAGCTAAAGAAGATGAAAGATATCTATCTAATTCAGATTGTGGGTTTGAGGAGCTTTTTTCTTTTTGGGATGCTAACCATCTACGACCTGGATCTCTACTACCTTGGCCTTGTGGCATAGCTGATGTTGATGATCTTGGGGGTATAGAAGAAACATTGCTTGAAGTACTACTACTTGCTTGCCCCATAGAATACTCATCAAACATATGATACAAAACATCTCTAATCTTAATTTTCATGGCCATGCAAACTTCTACATTATGCAAAAGCTGATAAAAAATATGATATACATAAGCAAGCTTGTAGCGAGGATTCAAAATCACTACTACAATGAGAAAAGGATTCATGTTCTCTGTTTGACATCAATTTTTATTTATATTTACTTCTCATGCTAAGGGACATCTCCATAAGCAAAGGATCGGCATTCACAATGTTCTCTTCCAACAACTCATGAATTAGAGCAATTTGGTGGAAACAAGTGTTAGAAGTGACATTTAGTGAACTCAAAAACATCAAAGTTAGGTCATAAAACACCTTCAAGAATTTAAGAAACATTCTTGCCTTATTCCAATCACTAGCTTTAGGAGGGCCTTCATTCTTGGAACCTCTAGCAAAGTATGCCTTATAGTCATCATCTTCATCTTCCAACCGTTCAAAATCCTTTTGAAATTTCAAAGCAAATTTCAACATCAAATATGTTGAATTCCACCGAGTATTAACATCAAGACAAACAAGGCTGGTGGTGTCCACTTTCTCTAATTCAGCAATATTCTTGAACTTTTGGAGACTAGCTGGAGAAGAACGAACATATTTAATTGCATTAAGGATTGAATTAAAGCTATTCTTTAAGTCCTTTAACCCATCATTAACTACCAAGTTAAGTATATGTGCAGAATATCTAAAATGAAGGTAATCACCTCCACAAATAATGCCTTTCTAATTCTTAAGCTGCTTTTTCAAATATGACAAGGCAGTATCATTAGATGATGCATTGTCCATGGTTATGGTAAACACCTTCTCTATTCCCCACTCTAATAGGCACTTCTCAATGGTCTTCCCTATTGTATCACCCCTATGATTTTCAATCATGCAAAAATTCAATATCCTCTTATGGAACTTCCAATCAGGATCAATACAATGACAAGTCAAACACAAATAACTAAAGTTTTGAGTAGATGTCTAGCAATTAGTTGTTAAACAAAAACAATATGTAGACTTTTTCAACACCTCTTTCAATATCTTGATTTCTCCAAGGTATAGTTGCCAGCAATCTCTAGCAATTGTTGCCCGTGATGGAATCCAAAATCTTGGTTCTAGCTCTTTGACAAAAGTTCTAAACCCATGTTTCTCAACGATCCTAAATAGCATCTCATCACAAATAACAAATTTAGCCAATGCCCTTCTGCATTGTTTTTGATTAAAAATATCAGAGACTAAGCTCCCCTTTTGCCCACTTGGTGTCACATAGTTCAACATTGATTTGCTTTGTTATTGTGTCGACCCTGTTTGGGTTCTTGTGACATTTTGAAAAATGTCTTTTCAAGGATGTTGTGCCATGCTTGTTTGGGTCACAAGCATAAATTGCATGACAATATTTGCAAGCAACCTTAACTTCTCCATTTGTTTCTTCTAAAGGTAACTTGACAAAATGCTCCCAAACTTGTGATTTTGTGCTTTTCTTCTCAGGCTCTTTTCTCTTTCTACTCACATTGTCTCCACCTTTATCTTGTGTAATATTGGAAATAGGATCAATAGCGGTAGGAGGAGGAGGAGGGACTGGTTCATCAGGAGGGGGCATTTCAGTTTCACTAGTCCTCGTTAATTGTGTTTGTGTAGACAAGGATTGCCCAATAGTAGCTGAAGTTCATCCACCATTTCTAACATGAAAAATAAATAATCATGCATTAAACACTAAACATATTAGATAATACAATTGGAAGATAATAAAATATAATATATTACTATTAGCACATGGGGCTAAGACAATCAACACCGCATTGGTCATTAATTCCTATTTTCCTTACTTTGAATATTCTATTTCCTATACCAAAAAAAAATCATCAAAGAAAACCAAAATATGAAGTTAAAAGTTCATAAAAGCATGATCTTTAATTATTTGTGTTCTTGTCATTTCATTGATCTTGATTATGATTGTTATCATGATCTCTCCTTTTTTTAATCTACATCCGAGAATATAAAAGAGGTTTCTCACATTTATAGAATTACTTCTTTTCATTTTGTTCCAGTTTGCAAACCAAATGGTACATAAAGCAAAGTTAAAAGGTCACGGCAAAAGTAAAAATATATATCAGAATAGGAAGGTCAAAGTAAACTTTGATTGAATGAATGTTTGATAAATATATATACATTCAAAAAGAGCTTCTTTTTTAAAAAATTTTAACATATGTCGGAACCAACAAATGTAAAGATCAAAATTGTTATTTTTGATAGTTGAAATTATAAATGGATCTTGACCCTGTGAAATAACTCAAGTAACATACATGAAAAAGATGTACAGAAAATACCCAGTAGCAACATTTGAAATCCCCATTGTCCTAAAAATTACAGATCGCAATCTTTTATAAATATTAAATAAATTTGACCCAAAAGTGTTAGAAAGACAGCTTGCAGGAAAAAAACTGGGTTTGAAGATAAGAGGAGGAACCATAGAGCTTTACTACAAGTAAATTTCATAAACCAAACAGAAAAGATATTCAAAAGAGGTAAAGGAGAAGAAGTTATTTTAACTCTTGGAGTTTCGAACGAACCTTTTGAGGAGAAAGGGCTACTCTAATGTTGATGGAGACAAAGATGAAAGGCAAGTCGGCAACTATTGAAGTCTCAAAGGAAAAGGAGGAAAGAGTGGCAGAAAGGTTAGGGCACAAAAGTGAAACTTGAAAAGGGAAAAGACGAAAAGTGTCTTGGTTGACTGATTATTGGGTTGGGCTTGGGCTCATATTTTGTATTCTAATAAGTCACATATATTTTTGAACATGTAATAAAATTCCACCTAGATCGGGCTAGACTATATGATCTGATTCATCAGTCCTTATCCCAGTCTTACCTGGTAATTTGGTCTAACCCGATTGGTTTGGTCTCCTCTTCGGGTTGTTTTTTACAGACCGGGTCGGTCCGGGTTCATCCGGGTTAGACCGGGTTGACCGGGTCCCCGAGTTTTTTTGCATAGCCCTATCTTGAACTAACCAAAAAGGGCTTAGGTTTTGTCATGAGATTTCAACCAAAATAACACTTAAACCTAACCAAAATCAGGCTTAGACATACCTTAATGGATCCTTACTTGAAGTTTGATGATTTTCTTTTGATTTGAAAGGTTTTAGGTGTTATTTATGGGTGAGGTTTCAATTGGATAGAATTTTTTCTCTTTTTCCTATTTTTAGCTGAATTATGTGTAATTAGAAGGGTATCTATAGAACTCAAGATCTGACCATAATCCCTCTGAAATGGTGCCATTTTTTGTGACATAAGGGGACATGTGTCCCTCTTCATAAACCCCCAATTTTCAGCTCATGCCAAGTATCCTTTCCTCTTGATTTTTCTTTTGGATTTTGGGCTTAAATTGGGTTTAAACTCTCTTTTCATAACAGATCATGGCTGCACAAAATTTCTCAGCTCTCTTGGCTCAAAATGAAACAAAACTTATTACAAAAGAAGAGGAAGTGTGGCCCAATCACAATTATCAATTTCTAACCAAAACTCACTATTCCGGTTACTATTTCCAAAAATAGTTCTGGACCTTCAAAAATTTATTTCATTTCATCAAAAATCCTCTTTTGATATAGGAAAGCTCCCTGAAAATTTTTAGAATTTATCTCAACCTCTAACTATTTATTTTGAATTTTCTCCGAAATAGGGCTTTACCAATAAGATTTTGCTAATAAATATTTTAAAATTAATTCTTACAGTTTGAGGACCTGAAAATAATTTTATAAACTCAAATAAATCCTTAAAAAAAATTTCATAATTTTTTCAAAATTATTGAGGCCTCTACATATTTAAATTAATTATTTCTGCTCAATTTTCATTATTTCTCCCGAAAAACCTTTGTTTTTAGGAAATTTTGTAATAAGTTATTTTCATGCCATTTCCACCTTCACGACCTCAATTGTGGATCAAAAACCTCTAATTTACCTATTTACCATTTTTTTTGGAATGTTCTAGAATTTTTCTTAAAAATTTCCATTTTACCCCTCCTAAACTAATAATTTCAAAAATATCAGTCTGGATCTTGTCTGGATTTTATGTTATATTTGGCTTTGTTAGCCAGTTTACTTTTCATATTGGCCCTTGAGTTAATTTTTCATACCTATTGTCAAAGGTAAATTTTGCGAGATGTTACAAACTCCTCCATATCTTCTTAAAACTTATCTTTAAGATGTGCCTCTACCCCAACTTGATATGCCTGGACACTAATGATATTAATAATATCCCCTCTAACAATTAATCTTAAAGATATTATTCTATTCTCAAATCTTTTAACTTCCACCACATTCTTCTTCCATGCTCCATCAACAATGATACAAAAATCATTTCTTTGTACTCACTTTTTCTGTGTACCAAAGTTTATACCCTCCAAATTCCTTGAAAACTCCTCCAACCCATTTACTTTTTTGGAGGCACAAGATATTAATCCTTGTGTCCCTCATAACTCCTACTACCTGTATAGATTTCTCATTCAAAATCCCAATAAAGTGGGTTTTATCGATCATTCGATTCTAGTGCCAGCATCTAATGATCAAGTCTTCTCGACTTGGGAAAGATGTAATACAACGGCCCTGTCTTAGCTCACCCAAGCTTTATCACCTACAACTGCACAAAGCATTCTGTAGATATACAAATCTTGTAATGTATTGGAGGATCTATGTGACAGGTTCTCTCATAATGACATTTTTCGATTAGCTGATCTACAAGAGGAGATTCAGAATTTGAAGAAAGGTGACTTGTCTATGACTGATTATATGATTGATTATTTCACAAAGCTTAAAATACTTTGCGATGAGTTTCTCACTTTACGCCCTGTTATACCGTGTTCTTGCTCTCCCAAATGTTTTTGTGGTGCTGCCGATGCTTTCAATATACACATGGAACAAGAATGTGTGATCCGTTTCTTGAAAGGGTTAAGCGACAAATCATGTTAATTGATCCGCTGCCAATGCCAACAACTTACTCAAGTTCACTAAAAAAAATAATGGTCAAGTATATGACTCGAATATTAGACTCATTTGGCATAGCGAACTAAGGTTACAGAGATATTGTTCAAGTTGATGGCTACTCGAACAACTCGGAACATTTTGCACAGGTAACTTTGACACTTAAACATATAACATCTATTGTGAATAGATTCAAATGACTCATTCAGCTTTTATGCTTATTTGATAGGACTTTTGCTAAATAATCATTTCAGCTAATAATCATGTGAAAAACTTCAACCAATTTTAAAAATAATTGCTCCAAATAAGTTTTATATTATTTTTATTTTTAAATGCAGGTTTCAATCAACCAAAAAACAATTTTTTTTTCCTCCCCAAAACTTGTTTTAAAAAATAATTTTATAAAACTATGCTAAAAACATAAAAACAAGAAACAGAATAAAGAAAAACCTAATTTCTATTAATATTTGCAGGGAGGGGAATGGAGGGAGGGGAAGAAGAGATTTTAATAAGTTCAACTTTTAAAAAATAGAGAAATGAGGGTAAAAATTTTTAACAGTGATAACGTCTAAGAGTATGCTTTTGTAATTTTATTGTTATAGTCATTTGTTTTATAATTGTTATCCCATTTAATTTTATACTAATTGAACTCTTGTAAATTTGTCCTTTTCTGTTATCACTGAATTAATAGAAGAAACTCTTGCACCTATAATACTCACAGAGTCGCACAATCTCGTGTTTAAGCGAGAACTAGCATTGACTTCCTTGTGCATTCATATTTAATAATATGAAAAAAAAAAATGGCCTCAATAGAAAAATCAACAAATACAAAGCAGCTAAAAATATCTAACAGCAAGAACAGAGTATTCTTGCCTCGGCATCAACAGAATAATGTCACCCACATATAACAACAAACGCGCTAAACAGAGGCATCAACATTCCGCAAGCAAGGGGGCATCAACTTCTCGTTGACATACTCGAGAAGGGAGCATTTTCTGCTAGCCATTTCGTAAAAGCAAGGATGACAAGGAGTTCAGGCAAAAGTCAATGTGAATATCTTAATAAGCTCTTGCTTGTGTGCGTAAAACCAACAGACCATATCATAACATATAGGCAAGAGAATTGACCACTTGGTGGGAGACCAATTTGAAGGTGCTTCAGATTCAGATATTGAAGTGAAGCTGCCCAATTCATTATTAGCTTCTTCATAATCCAGATAATGGCCACCTAAGAAATTTGGCTGAATTGACATGGAACTGCTCAAATATTTTCATGTTGCATGTATGTATAAACCATATTGGGCACACATGTTGGAACATGTGTTGGATTCTGAATAATGATGCATGATTAAGAATTACATGATTTCAATCTCAATTAGTTGGGACCCTCTTATATGTGTGGACGCTTTTTAATGAAGTAACCATACAAGCATAACTTATAAACACTACCAATTAGGATGTGTGGTTCAGTATTAACGATTTAACTATGAACTATTAACTAAGTAGTGAATAAATATACATGAAATCTCATGTGCTTCAATAATTAAGGGAATAAGTAGTTAAGATCAAACGTATGCAAGACTTTACCCACTAAACAAACAATATTCAAACAGTATTGCATGTCTCACTGA